GAAGAAGCACTTCCTTTTGAGTGTTGGAGTGAGAGTGTTGGAGGGAGCGATGCGTATCTTTTACTCAAATTGCTTGGAGTACAGATTTTTTGCAGATAAGCCATATTACATATCCGTCAGATGTTAGAGAGTTGGACATTGCTCTGAACATGAATGTGATCTGTATGATTTTAGTAGCCTACGTAAACGATCTAACATTAACATTTTTAGGCTAGAGGTACAACCGCTTTTTCTGGAGAATACGTGGTCGAGGACGTAAGTACCGATGATCGCAGAGTACGGAAGCTGATATTTCTGAAGAGCCAGAACGTCATTCAGTCCGAAGCGTTTCTCGATGCGGATGGCATTTGTGTTGACAGCAGCCGTTTGACGTCAGTGTACCATCAGCTGATGACCCGTGGGATTGTGCTAGCGAACTGTCCAACCAATTCTGAGTTCAGCGTGTGCGTGATTGGTCTCGGTGGTGGATGTCTGCCATCTTTCCTCAACCGCAAATTCCTTGAGGTACAACTGCTTCTTCTTATGTTTTGCGACATATCAGTTGTAGATCCGCATCGTCTGCATAGAACTCGATCCGGTAGTTGTGGAGATCGCTAACTCATGGTTCGCATTCACGCCTAACTGGCGAATGGAATCGCTTGTGGACGATGGTGTTCGTTATATTGATCAAGCCTTCAAAGAAAGGACAAGGTTCAACGTGATGATCCTCGATGTTTCCTCTGATATTCACAAAGAAGGACTTGTCGCTCCCATACCCGAACTGATCACAGACGATTGTTTGAATAAAATAAAAACCATCGTTGGCCCCAAAGGTACAGTTCAATTGGTTCTGTTCCCGCAGCAACGTTTGCTAATTGTTTTAGGTCTGTTGGTAATGAACCTTGTAACAAGAGACGAGACGAAAGCTGAGGATGTCAAACAACTCCTCAGAGCTCATTTCTCTTGCGTTGGTGGCATAAAAATTGAAGAACAAGTGAATGAGGTCTTGTTTTGCTTTCCCCTTATGTCAAAGACAGAAGTTGTCTCCTGCAGACAGACGTTTCTTGATGAACTGTCGAGTTTGGAAGTTCGCTGTAGAAATAACCAACCGGGAGAAACAGAGAACTCACGGGAATCAAGTCTTGCAACCAGTTCTACTTTTCTAGATAAATTGTTTCAGTCTCTGATATAAATTTTTTTGAAACATTTCTAAAGTCTTGTCACTGACTGTTAAATACGATGGCGGAAGACAACGTTACAGTCTGTTTTATCATAATCACATTAATTGTGAAGTGTTCGCATTGCTGACGCCCAGAGTTACCACTCTTCTCTTAAGTGTTCCTGCTATTATTTCATGATTCCACTGGTTGAATTTATGAATAGCAATGAATATGCTGTTAAATATTATTAAAAGTGAAACCGAGTAGTAATAATACTGAAATAATACGCTTTAATGGTAAAAATAAAATAAGAGAAGTGTTAAAACCGTCTTACAAGCAGATCCTTGTTGACTAAATTAGCAGTGTTTGGTCGACGTTGTCTCCTTTCATGCAATTTAATGATTAGGAATTTTATATGCATATTTGTTTTTTTCTAACATAGGACAAGAAGCCTTTAATTTGCGGTCAGGTAATATCCCATCAGTCAAGCAAAGTTATATGCTGGTTTAATTTGCAAAAATGACCCTCACAATTCCGCTGTTGCCGGTCCTAAGCCCGGATGAGGAAGGAGGAGGGTGGAGACCGTGGCGAAGTGTCCATAAACTTTCGCCACCTGCCCTTCATGATATTGACGTCATCGAACATTATACCGGCTCGCTCGTCGCCCGGGTTACCAAGCGCCGCGCTGGTTCTTTAGGAGACCAAAGCAGGCTGCGAAAAGTCAGCCATCAGAGCCTGCTCATCGCCCTCTCTCAGCCGGGGCATAGTAGCACAACAACGACTGACAATGACCCGCGGAAAGACAACCAATACACCAGTCAGCAACTGAGTCGCTACCCGTTCTGAGCGGAGGAGGCAGACAGCGCGATGCCATTATAACACGTTAGAAAAGGGTCCACGACAAGGACACCGGAAATTGGAACATATCCTCACTCAGAGGAAAAGAATAAGAGTTACTAGATGAGGCCATAAAGCACCAACTCGAAGTTATTGAACTCTCATCAACGAAACGCTAAGGCTCTGGACTCCTGAACCTCAGCGGATGGAAGCTGTTCTACTCAGGCGTCGATACCATGACTCGCGCTCAGTTCGGTGTTAAAGTTCTGGTAGAACCCAACCTCGCAGATATAATCATTAATTGGAGACCTGTCTTGGGGAACGATGGTAGTCTTCGGACTAAAGTTACAGCAGACTAAAGCGGTCACCTTCGAACAGGTCTATGCGCCTAATTTGGAGGGACCTTTCTTGAGGAAGTGCAGTGTGCTTAGTTCGAAGAGCCGAATACAGAGTTCCTCATACTGATGGGCGATTTTAATGCGCACATCGGAGTAGACGCTGAAAACTGGAACGGCGTGATTGAGAAAAACGGCCCTAGCGACCTCAACAATAACGGCATGAAGTTGTTGCGGTTCT